ATTTATTGATCTATTTATCCATTCATCTAGCCTATTTTGAGTTTTTTCACTATGTTAAAATTCCAGATCAAATTTTGATAACCTTAATTTTTATCTATATAATTTTCCAATGTTAATAGAATCTATTCCTACGATATCTTTAAAATAGGTTTTATTAAATGATTTATATCCTTCAATATAATAATCAAATGTTTTATGTGGTAAAACTATGGGAAGTAATTTTTTCTCTATTGTATTCTATTTCTGTTGAACGTCATTAAATTTTCTTGATACACAATGAATATATATATAGTTTCACCAATATCATTTACCTTAGTTAGTATATATCCTAAATGACAATCAAATGAGTCAGTATAAATAACATATGGTATTCCATATTCAGAAAATGATAAATAAGTTATTTCTTTCATCTTTTTTATTTGTTCAAAAATTTGAAAATGTTCTCCATTCAAAATAAACTTCCTCTTAATGATAGAACCAATTTAGATGTTCATCTTGTAAAATTCTTAATATAATTTCCATAATAATTAACAGCTCCTAAAAATGACCTCAACTGTCCCTTGAGTTTATGTTATTTCGCTTCAATAATTGTATTTATCTTATCTAACGAAGATTTAATTTCCTTACGATCAATCATTTTTCCTAAGTATATTATAGTTGCCTTAAAGAATTCACATTTGTCTACTTTTATTCCTAAACTATTGTTAATGAGTAATTTTTATACTATTCGCAATATTTTAAAATGTTCATTTATAAATTTTATTAAAATGATAATTTAATGAATGTATACAATTACATAGTTTTCTCAAATTAAGTCTATATGGATATTTTTTTTATTATTCTTTGAAACTGTGTAGGATTATTTTTCAAACCAAATGTTAATACATCAAATACAAATGTCCCACGTTTGAGTACTATAAATCCAGTGTATTGTTTACTATTTTCATCTAGTTTTTTTTTTTCCAAAATACATTTTTAAGATCTATTTTCGAAAAAATATTTAGTACATATAAAATATCTGGAATATACTATTCATATGAGGTAAAACATACAAATCATTTAATATATATTTATTTAAATACACGTAATTTGTATTAGTTTTCCATCCACTATTTTTTTTTTTTTTTTTTTTTTTACAAACTAATGCCATAGATGAAGTTCAATTTGCATTATCAACTCTACATATAACGTTCATCTCTATCATTTTATGAACTTTCTTATCAACCTAAATTAAAATCTCTTTACTCAAAGATCTAGGATTGTATCAATATAATATACCTTGAATTTTATGAAAGTTTTATATATAATTTTTACTCTTACTTTATCAAAAAAAAAAAAAAAATTTATATTTAAGCTCCATAAAAACTTCATATTATAATTATGTACAATTAAATAACTGTTATCAAGGAACTTTTTTATAATATTCTCATATGGTTGTTTTATTACTTCTTCATTTTTCTATTTAAATTTTAATATTTTTATATAATTTCTGTTTATTCTTTTAATATAATTGTACTAATTATGCTATAACAACTTTAATAGTTAGTACAAAACTTTCATGGGAACTTTCAATAGTGAATATATTCCCTTTTTATTTGTAGCTACTATATTAATGAATGTCTCCTTAAAAATTTTTAATATATACTTAATAATATACTTATTCTAATTGCAGGCGTTTTCAAACAATGTTCAAGTTTCAATTTCATCTGTGAATGGAAGAAATGTATGCATTATGACAAGAAGGCTAAAAAGTTTGCAATAATTTTCGATGAATTTAAAATATCTAGTAAATATTACTAAATATTCTTTTTCATTAAGATTGTTATTGAAAATTTTTTAAAACATATTCTTTTTTTTTTTTTTTTTTACTAATTGAGAATCTAACTTTTTTTCTCTATTTTATATTTAATTTAAATTGTTCAATTTGAATCATTAAATTTTTAAGATACTTTTTTTTATCTTGTAATTTGTCATTGAAATTATTTTCTTATGTTTTATTCGAATGTTTCTATGAAATAATAAATATTTTTCAAGTTAATTTGGAATTAAACAAATTAAATATGAATTAATTTTATTTTTAAACATATTTCCATTAATGTTGTATATTTTATCTGATTATACATATTTTATTTTCCACTAAGTTATATTTACACGTATCTATATTATCAATGATAATATAATAACATTATATATATATATAAGTAATTTATCTTCAACTTTTATTACCATAAATAAAAACTTCAAGAAATGTAAACTCTATTATTACTAGTATTATAACTATATTCTAATAGTATATAATTTTGCTTTATTAACTCTCAACAAAAAAAAATTTTTTTTTAATTCTAGTATAAATGTGATCACATTTATAAAAATATATTTCTTAGACTTGCATTTTGTTACTTTACATATAGATTGAAACATGTTACCAAAATTATTTCCAAAGTTATGCTTCATTTATAGTAATACGTGAAGTATAGAAAATTTTAGTATAAAAAATACAATTCATAATAAAGTAGATTGTGATTTCTAATATAATGGAATTTTTATTATTAGTTATAAGTTTAGTTGTAGAAATTCTTAATTGGTTCTAACAATTAAGAATTCAAAAATGATAATCTATGACTTCATTATGTCAGTTTATATTCCTATTCAAGTATAAATTTTTTTTTGTAACATTAGTATATCATAGGCAAAAAGCAATCACGTATTATATATATATATATCTTTTAAAACTCTTTGCATTTATACCATGCTTTAAATTTTTTAACTAATATGTAATAATTTTACTAGGGTGATTATATAAATTTAAGGAATTTATCTAGTATATTGATTTTGTTATATCTTAACTTTTGCCGTTAATGATCTTACAACTTTTCAAAAACTATATCTAAAAATATATTTACTTTTACAAATTTTTAAGATCTCCATTTTAGTTTTTGAAGATTTTATAAAAATAAAAAAAATAAAAATATTGAAGAACTATTGAAAACAACTATTACAATTAATGTTGTACATTTTTATAACAATTCCATAAGTTAAAAATAATTACTAGTTTAATATTACAATTGTACTATATTTATCATGCATCATTAGCATAATATAAAATAATTTTTTATCTCTTTTTAAAAATTATCATCTTCAAATAAATTATATCACTTTTAATGAAATGTGGTTACAATTATATATATGTATGGCGACTTTTAAATAAATCATTAATTCATATGTTGCACCTTTACATAAATTATTAACGTCAATTATTGTGGGTTGTAAAATAAATTTATTTAATTGAAAAGGTTAATAATTTTTTCGTTAATCTGTAATATTTGTTACTTTTTTGCGATTACATAATATTTACAACTGTCAATATACTATTTATTAAAAATTTATTTATAAATAATAACAATCTTAAAATGTTTAAATTAAATGTGTTTTTTATGATTTCGAATGCAATAATTTATAAGAAATTTATAAAATATATTCATTCTAATAGAATGCCTTAACACTTATCATTTTTTTCATTTTTAAGTTTAATCTGAAATATATGTTTTCAGAAATGAATAATAACTAAGTAAAAAAACATTTGGATAATTATTTGAATTAGGATTAATCAAAATTTAAATGAATGAAAGTGTACATAATAACTCACCTTTTGAAAAAAATATATATATTTATTCATAACTTGTATAAACAACATTCTTTTTTACATTAAAAATAAAATGATATAATTATGAAGATAAATATATATGTTATTATCTCATAATAAGTAAATATTTATCTTTTTTATAAAATTAAATTTTTTTCTAAATTTATATTTCAAGTAATTAATTGAATGATTAAGTAAAAAACTTCAATAATTTTTACTTACTATTTTTATAAAAAAATATACTTCCTGTTTTACAAGTTCTCATAAAAATATATGAGTGCTGTATGTGCCCTATATCTCTTTTTCTTCTTTCGGGTAAAACATATAAAGTAACATATACAAAAAGGTAAAATATAAATTCAATAATTATTATGCAATATTAAAAGAAAACATTTTTCAGTGTTTCTCATAGATCATAAAATCATTTACCATAGTAAAAAAACTAAGATAAAACATCTTCACTAATACAGTAATAAATTCCAAAAAAATAATGCTTCTTTTAAAATAAGGACGGAAATAAAATTAACATTGCATTGCAAAAAGTGAAAGTTTTTAAAATTAGAAATATTTGCTAATAAAAAAAATGTAATACATAATGATATACAGTAATCAAATAAAACGTAATTTTTTATTCTTTTTAAGTAATAATAAATAAATTGAAAAGATTTGTAAAAAATCGATAAATTCATAACACAAAGATAAATATCTTGAAATAATATTATATGAATTTATCTTAATTATCAAAAATAATAAAAAAAAATATTTATATAGTGTAAAGATACAATCATATAACAATTAAATGAAATCAAATTACAGTGAATTCTTTCGTTTTTCAATAAAAAAAAAAAAATTTTCTTCAAGTATAGTGAATTATTTTTATACGAAAGCATAAATACTTATTTTGAATGTATATGAATTTATCCTTAAGTAATAGTTATAATACTTAAATTATATTTTTATGATTATAATAATCATAATTATGATACCTATAATTATAATTGAATTATTTTTTACGAAAGAAATTTAAGTTGTATTAATAATCAAAGTAATTATATTTTTCACTATTAAATGATAAGTTATAGTTAATTTATATAAGAGAAATACTGTTTTAGTTAAAATATTTAGAGAGACCTAATTTAATTATATATTTTTATGTATACAAAATATAAAAAGGTATTTGAAAATTATATACTTCTAATAATGTTTAAATAAGTTAATATTAACAAAAAACTAATCTAATATAGTTATGTAAAATTTTAATTACAAGAAATATTATATGACAAATTTTATTCATATGCATACATAAAAAATAAAATATTAAAAAAAAAAAAATCAATCAGTAACATTGTAGTTGAATTTACAGAATTACACAATCGTCTGTTCGTAATTCACCCCGATCTTCTTCTGCTAATACATAGACTTCTTCATATATGCTCGTATCACCAATGTCATCAATATTTGTTCCATTTAAAACTTCTTCTTCAACATTTGTGTGTGCATCTAATTCTTCTTGCTGGCTTTCAACTTCTTCTATTTCTTCTTCCCCATCTGATCCTAGTTCAACTGGATCCACATGTGGTCTTCTTCTTCTTAATATTATCCTATTAGAAATTCTCTATAACATAAAATAAAAATTATTTGAAAAAATGAATTTTTTATATTAATAAATTTTATTTTAGATAATTTAAAAAGTATAAAAAGTTAAGAATTTTATATTTATAAATTTTTCTTACTCCACTTATCATAGTAAAACATAATACAAGTGCTTGAAAAGCTAAATTTTCTATAGATAATTCAGGAGGTAATTGTAAATTTTCACTAGAATCGTTTCCAGTAGTTATTTGATGAAAATTTTGAGATATATCACTTCCTGAATGAATTTGTGATTCTATAGAAGATGGATATCCTTCAAAATTACTAGAAATATTAGAGACATCTGATGGGGAACTAGATAAACTTGGTATAGACGATTCATCCGAATTTGCAGTTTCATCTGTTGAAACGTTGTTACTTTCTCTTTGTTCAGGATCCATATTTAATTATTATACTTAAAAAAAAAAAGAAAACATATTTTTTAGTGTAAAAACTTATTTTACTTTGTAAAACAATATATAATTGTATAATAATATTTAGATAAAATTAAAGCTTTTATCTAAAAATTTAAATTAATAATTAAAACTATAAAATTATAAATAAAAATTAAAAACAATTAATTATTATAAAATAAAAAAAATATTCCTAAAACTTATTACAATTTCATTATAAAAGCTCTATAAATGATAAATAGAATATTTTAATAAAAACTAAATATATTTGTTAAAATTTCAAATTTCAATTTAAAATATTAACAATTATTTTATCTAATGAATTTTTTATTTAATTTTTTAATTATCTTTCAAAATGGAATTAGATTAGACTATAAGAAAAAGCATAAAACTGAAATGATTATGTAATTTTATATTGTTGCTTTTCAAAAATAAAACTACATAATTTCTAAAAAAATTTATCAAAATTTATCAAAATTTTTTCTATTTATCAAAATTTTTTTTATTTAACAAAATTTTTTCTATATAACAAAATTTTTTCTATTTATTAAAATTTCAAATTTTTGTTAAGATTTCTAATTTAAGTTTTTCTAATTTTTATATTTCTAGAATTTATCAAAAATTATTAATTTTTATTTCGGTACCATCAATAACAGAAACATTAATGGTTTTACAACTATATGATAGAATATTTTAGTTCTTTTTCTTCTTTTTCTATTCTGAAAATTAATTTGGAAGGTAATTATTAGAATTCTTGAAAAAAAAAAAAAATTTTAAGAAGCATGCAATAAAAAAGTTTTAATTACTTCATTTTCTAAATCTAAGAAGTTTTAACAGGAATTAATCGCATAATAATTTATTAAAGAATTATATAAATATATATCTTGAATTTATATGCATATTTTATTTTATTTTTTTTTTTTTTTCATTATTTTCATTATGATATTTTTTTTAAGTTATGCTTTTGTTTTATATATATTTTTCTTTTGAGATAATATTAACTATTAGTATATTCGCTTTTTTTTCCATCCTTATAATAATTTTTCGACATAATTGTATTACTTATTCAGAATATTTTAATCAATATAAAAATATATTTTTGTATAATTTTTAATTTTATATAAGAAACTTGAATATTTTAAAATGAGCATGCATGTTAATTGAAAGCACTGAGCAAAAGTTAATTCATTAAAAATAGAAAAAAGCTAAAATAATATTGTATTTTTCTTTATTATTTGTATTATGGTATAATAGAGTATTTTTTTGATAAAATATAATATATTTTATTTTATTTTATTTATTTTTTACCTCTTTTAAGTTTTACATATTCTCAATTAAAATATATCTTTTTCTGTTAACAAAAAATACTTAGTTTTATATATTATTTTCGAATATATAGATGAAATTAAATAGCATACTTTAAATTTTATTTTAAATTGATAATAAATGTATTTCACTTATTAATGAAATTTTTAATTATTATAAAAAAACATAATATTACATTATGAACTAAATTCTACTAAATTTTTTAGCTATATAAAAATTATAATTATATATTCCAATTTATATTTGCGTAATTGCCATAATAAATATAAATACAAGCAAAAGGAACTTCTATTTTACAAAACTTTAAAAAGAATTATATACATGGAAATTTTTTTATTTTTATCTATTTTTCCTTATTATAAATGTCATATTTTCTTTCAAATTTACATTTTTGCAATTATCTTTAGTTACCATGTTTATTTATAATAAATAAAATAAGAAAAAATATGAAATGATTAATATTATTTTCATAAAAATTTTTTCCTAATTATACACTTTAAATTTTATGTAATATATATATAGAAACCTTTTTTTTTTTTTTTTATCATAATATTAGTTATTATCTTTTACTTTCTTTTTTTTTTGTTATTAGAACAAAATTCAAAGTTACATATTCAATAGATAAGGTTAATGTAAAACTGCTTCTTTTTATTTTCATTTTTTAAATCGAATTTTGTGTAATTTTTATCACATTGTAATTAGAGAGAATATTTGGATAGTAATCTATTAATGAAGTAAAATATAAATCTTTTTAGAATTTTAAAATTACTATATTAATTAAAAACAAGTAATTTAAAAAAGTCTCAAAAAGTTCAAGAATATTAATTAATAATCTAAGATTAGTTTTATCAGGATAAATCAGGTTTTAAAAAAACTATAATTTTTTTTTTCTTAACATTATTATTTTTCTGTACAACTGTTTTTCTTTTAAAATATTTTAAATTTGTTTTTAATTATTAATTCAACATATTCTGGAATAAAAATTTATTTTTATTTAAAATTACGTTGATGTACTATCATAAGTAAAAATATTGAAATAAAAAACTCCAATAATAAATATTTCATTTTCAAATTTTATTTAGTTTTTATTTTTACGTTATGTATTAGTTCAAAATATTAAAACAAGGAGAATTGCAATTATTAAACAACAATTTAACTTTTAAAATTATTATAAAATTGAAGAATGAGAAATTTAATAAATCAGTATATATTTTTTAATTTTTTCCTTTTTACTAAAATATTAGTAAAATTAGCATAATGATTATCTTTCGGAACTTAAATTTTATGAAATCATTTGGTGAGTGTAGATATCTTTGTCTAACATAAAAAATTTAATTAATATCTTGTAATGATAATACTCATATAAACAATAAGTAATATTTCTATAAAATATATTGCATAATACTTGTGATAGAATATGAAAATTGCATTTTAAGTATTTTTTCTTATATATTACGAAGTTAATAAATAAAAAAAATATATTTTCTTAAATAATTAATATTAGTTGAAATAAAAAAAAAAAAAAAAAAAAAAATAATAAATTCATGAACAAAAATTTTTTAAAATAAGATAAATTATGTCTTTAGAATTTAAAATATAAATAAAATAATATACTTCTATAAGATATTTCCATAATCTCTAAAATAAACATTTTATTTTTATATATCTTACTACTTCAACTTGTTATTCTATTATTCATAAATGTTATCTTCAAGTTTTTCCTCTATATGAAATTACAAATCTTATAATCAAAATTTATGAATTATTTGTTGTCTTATTTCTATTTTTGATTTGTTTCCTTTATTCTCGTTATTATTCTTATATATTATATGTATTCTTAAAAATGTTCATTATTTTTCCATTAGCTTTTTTTTTTTTTTTTAAATCCTCTCTGAATTTTCCTTAGGATAATCCATCTATATACAATATCCTTCTTGGTTTCCTTTGTTTCATTCTTCCATTTATCTCTGTCACTTCTTTTTTTAATATAGTTTTTTAATACATGACATCATTTTTGCTCTTCTGATAATTCTTCTTCCTATTCTAATAGAAATCTTTTATATATTAATTTTGATTTAGTTAGTAATTCATATCTACTAGGAAAAGGTCTATAATAAGTACACTAAGTAGAAAATCAATAATTGAAAAAAAATACTCTTTTATATTAAATTTTAATTAAAAAAAAAAAAAAAAAAAAAATTATAAAAACATCTACACTTTTAAGAATATATTTAATCTTACATTACAGCAATGAAGAATCAAAATTACGAGGGAAATAATTGTAGTCTTAAAGAAAAAGGTAAATTATTTCCTTCTTATCATTTTGTAATGTTGTTTAGAATTTTAGATAAACGATCCTTCTAAATTTGAAAAATTGTCATAATTGTTTAAGAAAAATGCAATACTTGAAGTTTCATGATACTTCATATTCTTCTGTTAAATTTTTGAAACGAAAATTCTTTTTAAAATTATATTTATTACTTCTACATATAATTTACAAATACTCCATTAACTTTTTAGAATTATTAATATCCTCAATTTCTAAAATGAACAAAAATAATAACTATTAAAATTTCTAGTTAAAATGAAAATAGTTATAGAACAAAATAAAATAAAAGACTTTTAAAAGTAATTAGTTTTACAATTATTTACCAATTTTACAAAAAACTAATTCATATGTGTAAAATTAAATGTACCAAATAAAATAAAAAATCTTAAATTTACATTATTAAATATTAAACACTGTCAATAAATAAATATATATTTTTTTTTTTTTCAATAGAGATATTTAAAATAACTTCATATAAGTTTTACATAAATTGAAACGCATTAAATTATTTATATAATAATTTCAACTTTTAACTAAGAATCTTATTTTTTATATATTTATTGTTTTGTAATTCATTACTTTATTATTAGTACATAATATGAAAAATCACCTTTTGAAAATAGACTGAATCATCTTTTTTTCATACTCATTTTTTCAAAGATAAAAAAGTAAACAAATGCAATTATTTATTTGCATGGGAGATAGAGTTTTTAAATTATTTTTGTGAAAATATATTTTATAGTTAAAAAAACAAGCATATGTTATCTCTATTTGGGTTTAGTTATATTTACAAAGTTTTTGTAATTTAAATAAAATGAAAAATTGATATTCCTTTTAATATCTTTTTAATCAAATTTTCAAAAAAAAGTTAGTATTATTTTTCATTTATAATACCTTTTTTTTTTTTTTTCTATTATTTCTTTTTTCTTTAATAATTAGAAAATATTTCAAAAAAAAATTTTAAATATTTGATTTTAATCAAAGGTGCTAACATCTTTTTTTTTTTATTTCATTTTATGAACATCTTCATTATTCAACTAGTTATTAAGCTTTATTTAATTTTTATTAGTTTATTATAAATTTTTTTTAAAATTTAATATATTCTCTTTAGATATATTTGCAAAAATTGAAATAAATGGGAAAACACAAAAATAATAAAAATTATCAAAAAAGCTATAATTTAATTTAAAAAAAAAAATATATTCGATATTAGTGATTTAATTGAAAATTTTATAAAAATACAGAAAATTTTTTTTTGTAGAATTTGGTGTTTTCTCAATTTTATTCTTTTATGAAATTAACCATATAAATTATTTAATGAATAAATTAAATG